AAAAAAAAAAAAAAAGGATTCCTCTGCAGCTAAATTGAGAGACACTAGAAACTCCTTACATCACAAAAAAAAAAAAACCTTGTGTAGAACTAGGAGCCTCAATAATTATTGGAAAATAAAAATACCTGATTTTCCCCATCACAGACAATGCCATCAACTAAATGAAGTGATTTAGGAACTGCTGGAAAAGCTTCAGCAAATGACGCTAAAAACACTGTCTCGGGCAACACAACCTCCAATGATGGTGTCCGATCGCCTGAAAAAACTAATATGACAGGCTTGGAACAATGACTTAATAGCTGTGCCATACGAAGTTTATGAATCACTGTAAGCCAAAAGCTCACTATGGAAATCTCCATTTTGAACCACTACTTAAACCTAGAAAAAGTAAAGCCTAACGTTTATTCGGTAAATAAGTTTTACAGTTAAGATAATGCTAAAAAGCTGAGAGATGTTCGACAGCGAAATGCAGTTAATTCGTCAAGTCACAACTTTGAAGGGCCTCGAAGAAACTCCATACTACTCTAGCACTTCAGAACCACAGTAGTTGCAGCCATAAACGAATGGTTCAGAAAGGACCGTGGATAAAATACGAAGGTTTACCGCTAAGACCAGAAAAAAAAAAGGTAATCTTTTGTTTCCAAAAAGCGCTTCCTCAATCTGTGAACTTTAAAGGTTTTTCGCAAAACTGTAACACTGTAACACGTCGGGTACGTACTCCAACTTTAGCTTGAAATTCGAAGCCGTCGCAAAACAAAGATTCATTTTTTACAAAATAATTTTAAAAAATTTTTTGAGCTGTTCCCGAGTGTCACAGAGTATTCAGAATAAAGGATAACACCCAGAAGTCGGAAAAACCGAATAATCCAAATGGGAACTGACCAAAAACAACGATAATTACATCAAAGAGAACGTACAAGAATGGATTAAGATAAATTCAGAATAATAAAGAAATTCTTCGCTATTCTATGGTAAGTCAACAACAACTCAAGCAAATGAGAATTGCCAACAAAAAGCGCAGAAAATTTCCTTTACTTTTCCCAGAACTTGTTCTCTCCAAGTCTTAGAATAATTTCAATAAGGAGGAATACATACCGAATGCAACCTCCTCCCAGTCTCCTTTGGAGAGGAACCTACAGAGGAAATGGTCAAACCTTTAAGCGGCACAGATGAAGAGCAATTTTACTATAATACAATACTGATCCAAAGACAAATGACTTAAAAAAGAACACACAGTGGCCAACTACTCTGTTGCTTTGAAAATGGCGAGCAGAAACATTCAAAAGCTCTTAAAACGTACTTCCAATTGAAACGTTTCTAGCCAACTTCCCCTCCGTAGCAGCTAAAGCATTCGCAATGGTTGCAAGAGTATGCCACGTTCTTATCGGTAAATTGCCACATTCCAACGGCTCTAATGATGGCATTTTGTTATATATTTTGTTGATGTAAGGGGTCGACAGCCATTCACAGTAAACGAAGACTGACGGCAACACCCGACGAACCTTAATAGGTAGAACGTTCTGCATCACCGCAAGTTTTTTTTTCTTTTCAAATGGTGTCCTAGACGAAAACTCAAGGACCCATTACTAAGTCATTTTTAAAAAAAGAACAACACTCTAACAGTTTTAAAGACAAGGAAATAAAGTCCAGTGACCTTATTTTTCAAACAAATTTCACCGGATAACAAAGCTCCCAGCTGAGAAAGGCACTCTTCTATAGGCCCTAACAAAACGCCTAGAACACTAAGAACCGTCTGAACTGCATACTGCTGCTGCGCTGTACACGTCTCAGGATCACCATCTGGAAAGCAGATAACACAATTTAAAGGTAGCAGTTACACAGAGAGTATTAACGGATAAATGAGAGATTGGGTATCAAAAGTTAACTAAAAATTACTT